AAGGCAAAGATAAACAGCTGGGACTACATCAAATTAAGAGCTTCTGCACAGCAAAGAGAACAATAACAAAAACAAAGAGAAACCCACGGCTGGAGAACATTTTTGCACACAACACTAATGATAAGGACTGATCACAAAACTGCAAAGAGCTGATGAGACTCAACAACAACAAAGAAATTCCAGTCAAAAAAAATGGGCAGAAGAGCTAAAAAAAACTTCTCTGAAGAGGAAATGCAAATGGCCACACGGCATATGAAAAAATGTTCAACATCACTTGTAATCAGGGAAATGCAAATCAAAAATACCATGAGATACCATCTTACACCAGTGAGAATGGCACATATTTAAAAAACTAGCAACAATAAATGTTGGCGAGGATGTGGAGAAAAAGGAACTCTCCTGCACTGTTGGTGGGAGTGCAAACTGGTCCAACCACTATGGAGAGCTGTGTGGAGATTTCTGGACCTACTAAACATAGAGCTTCCATATGATCCAGCAATTCCACTCCTAGGTATTTACCCAAAGGACACAGAAACATCAATTCCAAAGAACACCTGCACCCCTATGTTTATAGCAGCTCTATTTACAATAGCTAAGCTTTGGAAACAACCCAAATGCCCAAAAATAGATGACTGGATCAAGAAGATGTGGTACCTATACACCATGGAATATTACTCAGCATTCAAAAAAGATAAACACATGCAATTTGCAGCAACATGGATGGCGCTGGAAGGGATCATGCTCAGTGAAATAAGCCAGAAAGAAAAAGAAAAAAATACCGGATGGTCTCACTCATAGCAGGAATCTAGAATTTAAATAAGGGACCAGGAAAATGAATAACTATAAGAAAGTGAAAATCAAAATCAACAAAAAACTATGAACCAGACACTCTATGGGGGGTAGGGGGCCGGAGGGGAGGATTGGGTCAAATAAGAGGGTTGCAATTGTATGGGGAATATAAAAATAAAATTTATTTTAAAAAAATAAGCCAGAAGGAAAAAGAAAATATCAGATGGTCGCACTTATAGCAGGAATATAGGGGAACCAAAGAAGATATCAGTGTAAAAAAATAATAATGGTACAAAACACAACAGAACAAAAATAGACAATTATAAATCAGAGACATCCTGCAGGGGAGGAGGAGGGAGAGGGATCAGATTGAGGGAGGGAGGAGCACAGGGGACTGAGGTGATGGTACATGGTACATTACTGAAGGCAATTCGATGGGGACTACATCTGAGGGGTGGGGGGAAGCAAATATTTAAAAATGAACATTGATGTAAAAAATAAAAAAAAAATTTTATAAAAGAAACTCTTGAAACTATCCAAAAAGAAGAACTCTCAGCGCAGTGGTCTGTTAGATTAATTAATGCATTTATGTAATAAATGTATCAAATAATATAAATAAATAAATCAGACTTGCGTTTCTGGGGTGTTCCCTTATGGGTTCTAAAGTATTTTCCTTGTCATTGCTGTTAGGTTTTATTGCTATTTTTTGTTGAGGGGTTCTACATGTAACTTTCCTCTTTTTAAGTTAAACTTTTCCTTTTGACCATTATAATTTAATTACACTAAATTTAATATAGTAATCACATTACAATATATTCATGTTAAGTGATGATGTAGTATATCTGGATTACACAGAGTCCATATATTTTACATGGGAAACAAACGAGAAAAGTAATTACACACACATGCTCACACCACAAGCCCTGGTTTACACAGTGAACACACTTATATGTCCACTACACTGCCATACAATCAACACATTTCGATTCAAACACCAACTGCACTCTCTTCTCATATCAGATACCGTGCGCATCACAACCACACACACTAACACACATGTTATATGCACTTAAGTCTCACAGTACCACCCCCCCATTTAACAGCACTTACACACACCTCACATACAAAATATAGACACGTTCACCCCACAAAGAGACATACACACCCACATTCCTCTGTCTACAACTGTGACCCTAGATCTTACCTCCCACACATACATACTGGGTGTTCAAATTCATCAACTTATAACAGGAATGCTTCGCAACCTGGAGTAGAGAGGTGACAGGGCCAGGGAGAACAAATAGGGTAGGGGGGAGCAGTGAGAAGTCACTCCTCCCACTTCTCACTTTTGGTTTTTTGGGTTTTTTTAAAGATTTATTTATTTATACAAGAACCGGGGCCTAGGCCAGATGCACGGGAGGGTGAGAGGATTCACCAGACAGAGCAGGGAACAGAACACGCAGACCGACGAAATACACTGCTGAGGGGAGCAGTGGGCAAGACAGGAGAGGCCTGCCGAGCCATGTGGGACCCTCGCCAGGGGCCAGCCGGGATCGTATCAGCACTGCAGAGGCTGCGGACAGCCTCACAGGGCCATGTTCAACCGCCTGTGCCACCAGGGGAGGCCCACTTCTCACTTTTGTTTCTCACTTACCGAAGTGTTATATTCCACCATCTCCTTGACTCCATTTGCAAAATAAGTTAGATCCCTATATTTCACAATATTCTGTATCTGCAAGACAGGGGAGACATAGTGGGCCCACAGCCAGGGGTGGAGGCCAGCAGGTCCCCACCAGGCGTCATCTCAGGCTTTATGCCATGCAGACTCAGGGGCCCACCGACCTCTGCCAGCAGCCCACCCCTCAGAAAGGAGGCCCCTCCGCTGCACCTGCGGTGTGCAGATTCCCACACACCGTTACTCATTTCTGCAGTGGCCACTCTTGTCCATACTTCTGCATAGGCTTAGAAGAGCATCTTCTGGGGGACACTGGGAAATGTGCCTTTGACACTCTACAACCCACACTCAGGGACAAAGCTAGATATTGTTCAGAGTTACCTGGCCTTTATCATAGTCTTTTACAGCAATGCCTAAAACTGTGGTCTTCATCTTTTCAGCTTTGTCAACCTAAGAGAAAGACACTTTGAGTATAAATCATCATGTAACAGGGAGCAAATGCTGGAAATGGTGGACTGGACTCACTTCCACCTTCACGTTTTGAAAAACTTCAGGCGTCAGTTGTCCACTGACCAGAGCGATAATCAGATTCTCTGCGCCCAAGCCTACCGAAAAATGGAGAGTGACCTGGTCAGTAAAGGCCTCTGGAGCTACAGGTCCCCTCCCCAACCTTCTTTTCTGTTAATGGCCTCCCAGACATGAGCAGGCATCCAGAGCGCCAGATGCAGGCTCTGCAGCAGACTCCGTCTGGGAGAAGGTGCCAGAAAGGAACATGCTTTACAGAAGAGGAGACTGAGCCAGGCTCAGGGCTTTCCTGCTCACTGCTTCCAGACAGCACAATTTTCTTCCTGAGAAGCAAATCCAGCTATTCTACTGTCAGGGGCAAGCCTTTCCCATGAGCAATGGTTCAGTTGAAGGTCAGGCTCTGGACGGGGTGAAGGGAATAGGAATCAGAGCCGCAAAGTGGTCAGCAAGGGGGAAAATCAAGCTCACTTTCAGTAACTGAGTCCTGTCTGCTTGAGTTCTCCTGGGTTTGCGCTTTCCTTTTCCACACAGCCCACCTGTAGGCCAGGTGCCTCCCATTTCACTGGCACCAAGAATGTACACAGAGGCCCCGCGTGATTCTCAGGGTCACCTTGGGGGAGGGGCTCTCAGCTCCCAGACAAGGAGCCTGGAGCACAGAGAGGGCAGGGGTCTTGTGTAGCTCAGGAAGCAACTGGCTGCAGTGGGTCTCACCAGACCTGCCGAAGCCCATACCTGGCTCCATCCTCGACCCAAACCTAACAGAGTCAGCTGGAGCTTACCATTGTTGTTGGTTTTTTGAATTTGCTCATTTGCCTGCAACAAAATAAAGGAATGTTGGGGGAGGACAGCAGGATCACCCAATAGTCTTCTGAGAACTTGGTAAGCAGAGCACCTCCTCAGAGCTCTGGTGTCTGTACCTTTGCAAATCCTGCGTCTATGTCTCTGTTTCCTGCAGGAGCGACACCATGAAGTTTGTTAAGGCCATCCTGTATTGCAGCTCTGAAAAAAAAAATAAATAGGGGTAATGAGGTAGGAAGAAGGGTTGACTGTTTATATAAACAGCCACAGGCTGTTCTAGCACATTCTGCTCTGTGCAGACCGGCCCGGATGGTGGAGGACACAAGTCAAGTAAGTCTGTCATGGCCCTTCCACCCTGTATTGTTGAAATAGGAAACTTTTTTGGGTGTTCCCCTTGCCCAGCTTGTGAGCAGGGGGATAGGGGATGCTGCATTGTTAAACCTGTGGGTCATGCTAAGTAACTCACCTTTGATAGGGTAGCCCACGAGAGGCAGGGACCTCACAGTTATGAGCTGACTCCCTGCGGAGTGAGCAGCTTGGTCCCTTCATCCAGCACCTTAAACTCTGGGTTCTGAATTGGGTAGACAGCCCCCTCCTCCCCTGCAAATTCCAAGAGCAATGGGAGGGATAATTCTTCTCTTAAGATGCAAACTCCAGCGGCCTCCCTGGTGGCACAGGCGCTTGAGCGCCACGCTGTGGGTGGGACTGTCCACAGCCTCTGCAGCGTGGGTTTTGATCCTAGCCAGCCGGCAAGACTCCCACATGGCATGGCAGACCTCTCCTGTCTCGCCCGCTGCTCCCCTCAGCAGTGAATTTCATCAGTCTGCCTGTTCTGTTCCCCGCTCTCTCTCTCCAGTGAATCCTCTCACCCTCTAGCTCATCTGGCCTGTACCCTGGTTCTTGTATAAATAAATAAATCTTTAAAAAAATATGCAAACCCCAGACACACACCCCAGACACGAAGCACAATTTGAAAATGGCTTAATGATACACAAAGGAGATACTCTGGCTCCATCAACCACTTTCTGGACTTACCCTGACGGACTTCTAAATCTATGTGGTGCTATACCCACTGAATTGGCTTTCTTTCACTCTTCTTCTAACTTCTAGGCAGTGGATACAAGTTGCAGTGCCCAACCCCAGGATTAGTCCAGTTCCAATCCAGAAACTGTGTTCTCCAAGGCAGGTAGATTCATGGCCCTGACCTGTCATTGGGGTGTCCTTATAGGTACATATTCTCCTTCTGCCCAGCTCCCAACACACAGGAATTGCATCTTTTCCACTCCCTGGTGCTCCACTCCCTAACCTACACCCATTCTTAGGGCAGAGGTCCGCACCACCACGTGCAGAGGACCAGAGATCCGTCCATGAGCCTCCCACAGCAATCTAGGTCTGTCTGGGCCTAGAGCCCTGCTTGGAGAAGGTGCTGGTCTCCCTTTCCTCAGGGGCTGCTCCTTCACCGGAAGGCACACTCAGTCCCCTCTCCTCTCTCTCCATCACCTACTAGACTCCCTCCCCAGAAACTGCTTTCTTGCACCTCATCCTGACTCAGGTCTCTCAATGCCCTAAATATGAAGCCCATGCACAAACCTGCCTCATCCCACCCAGGGAGCAGCCAGGACACACCCTGCTTCTCCTGGGAGCAGACAAGGGAAGGAGTCTCATGCACTGTACCTGCACCCACTGTACCTGCAGGCAGCTGGTCCTGCTCTCTGCAGACCCTGGCTTCTCTCCAAGGTCCTGAATATTGGCCTGTGACATATTCTAAGGCCCAATTCTAGTCCTGAATGTCTTGAATCTCTATGTGGTGTTATACCCACTCTGAACTGAGTTTCATAGTATTTTGTTCATAAAACCTTCAAGTTCCAGTTATTCAGAAGCTCCAGAACTTCCCATCTTTGGGTCTTTGGGCACAGTTCCAGGACCACCCATACCCGAAAAGGATGTGTGTTTCATGCCTCCTCAAGCATGCAGCCCACCTGGTATTCAGGTCTGACTCAAGCCACCCATATCAGACCCACCAAGGAACCAAGCTGCCCTCACTGAAGCCCTCATGCCTTCCTCCCTGGTTCTGTCTCCCCCAATCCCTACTGGCACACAATAGCAGTTGCCCAACACAGGCCAGTGTTCATAAAGGACCCTGCTACTGGATTCCTCAGATCCTCGCAAAGCTTGTTCTAAGAAATTGGAAGGATCACAAGGGAAGGACTCAGGACAGGGAGGCAATAGGACTAGAGAAGGCAGAGATTTGCTATAATCACAGGATCAGTGGGTTCCTGTGCAGCAGGGTTTACATGGGGTATGAGTCAGGGCTGGGGATTAGGGTGGTCCCTGAGGTTAGCCCAGGTCCCCTCATCAACCTGCCCTCCTGGGGGCTCCCCACTGAGGTCTCTGGATACCTCCATCCCCTTGATTTACTATGGCCCATCTGCCTGGGGGACCAGAGCTGCACTTACCTATCTGAAGTGAGCTCCAAGAGGGTTTGGGCTCCTGTGGAGTAGGTGATAAAGGAGAACTGATGATTTTTGCTGCAAAGGAAGGATGTGTTGATGAGATGTCATACACGCAGACTCAAAATTATTCTAGTGAGCAGTCTGGGAAGGGGGTGACAATGGAGCCATTTTTTCTATTCTCAACTCCAACTCTCCACTTTGGGTTCCATTTCCAAAATTTGGATTTTTCTATAAAATGTCACTGAAGGATTCAAAGGCCAATCAGATTTATGGCCTTCTCAGAGAGCAATCCAAGATGGCATCCTACTCCACCTGTATTCTCTCAACAGTCAAACAGTCCAACATGCATACACACAAGCCCCACCCCAGCACACACAAGAGCACACATGCACATACATAATCATATGTGTTGAAACAGGCAACCACAATAAAGGTATGTTTAAGGTGCATACAGTAAGCACTCAGAAGTAGTTACCTATGTATTCCTCCATTAAGTCCTCCCACCTCCCTGTCTTCTATGCATATTTCTTGCATCCTAACACACCCTATTGCCCAATCTCTTTTCCCTTTCTTCTCTCACATACAAAAGGAATTCCCTGCCTTCTCTCACATCTCAAACAAATTATCCATCTTCTTGGCAGCCATTACCCCTTCCTTTTCTAAGCCTGGCTACTGTATTTAGATTCACTGACCCTAATTATCTCTTAGTTAAATTGCTATGTTAGGTCTCAGTCTGAGTTTCCCATTCTTCTGACTCTTGTTCCAACACAATTTATTCATTATTATACTTTTCCTCCTGGCTGACCAAATTGGCCATGTCACATACATCCTCAAGAATCATCTCTAGGACCTCCCTGGTGGTGCAGAGGTTAAGTCTCAGCGCTATTGCCTCTGAGGCCTGAGTTCGATCCCCGGTGAGGGAGCTAACCCACGTGGCACAGCAGACCCCTCCTCTCTCGCCTGCTGCTGCCCTCAGCAGCAGTATATCCACCTGTTCTGCTCCCCACTCTGTCTCTAGTGAGTCCTCTCACCCTGACCTAGACTCCAGTTCTTGTATGCATAAATCAGTAAAATAAATCATTTTTAAAAATCATCTCTATCTCCCTATTGCTCGCAGTGGGAAACCCAAGCTCCTTGCCTGGCACTATGACTGCAGTAAGTTTGGTTCCAAGTCACCCCCTCCAGCCTCTTCTCTCAGCCCTCTCCTAAGTTAACTGTACTTTCCAGCCAAACAGACCTCTCTCTCCACAACCACCCTTGATGGTTGCAGTGACCCTGCATTTCCTCATCATTTAAGGTCTAACATTTAGGCCTTTTTTGAAGTTATATCTAAGAACTCTGCTTTTTCTTATAGCTGACACATGAGCTACTTGTCCTATTTTCTTGACTTGGTATGTGTTTACAGTGTTACTCTGAGTCCTAATCTGGAAAATCCTAAAGGCAGATCTCTCCACTGTATTGTGACCTGAAACCCAGACTCCAGCCAAGCTACACTTCCCAGACCTGCTGGTATTAGTGAGATCTCTCCTCGCCTGCTTTAGAACCTGCCATGGGCACTATGCTCCTGACATGAGGGACACCTGTGCCTACAGCATTGAAAAGGTTGAGTACTATGACTTCCAGAAGAACACACCAGCAGTAATTTCTGTACTTCTGTATTATCACATCCACATATTTGTAAATTTCCTTCCAGATGTTCCTCATGGCCGTTGATCTAGACAAAGAGGATAAAAGAGTTATAGGACACATCATCATGTAGGCAGAGTTTCTGCCTCTTCGCCTACTAGCAGGTCATTTAGCAAAAACCTCCCTCCCACAGAGCTTCCACAATCCTCAGTAATGTTAGTGGGTCACATGTGGTGACATTTGTCAGTGTGTTTGGTGGGGAGGCTGAACACAAAAACCAGTTTGCTCTGGAGGAAGGGTCTTTGGTTGCTAACCAGGGTAGTTGGCCACGTTGGCTGGTGCTGTGCCAGCAATGCCACACTGATAAAGAAACAGAAGTCTTGGAGCAGGCTACACCATGCAGGATGATACTGAAAGAGCAAGATCCTGGCTTTACATTGATAAAATAATCATACAGCATCAATTACATGGGGTAGGAGAACAAAGGGAGCGGGTAGGTGAAAACTGAAAAGTTGCTAAACTCATCTAGGGATTCAGGGGGTGGTGAGTCTGCTGACAATAAATTTAAAATCCGGTATTGTATTGGAAGTCATACCCCTGACCCTTACCCAGTCTTACAAAGAAGGCATTCCACAGACAGTCTCTGGGATGTAAGGCATCTTTACATCCTGGGCATTCCCAGTCACACCTCCTGATGCATACACATGTGGACAACCAAGCATTGTGCTCTTGCTTAATTTGAAAGAAGCATTGTAGTGTCTGGTGTCTTACATTCTTTTAGGCTAGATAACTAATTGACGGTGTTGTTCTGACCTTGCATTGGAGGGCAAAACTGCACGTTACTAAGATGATTCTCAAGCGGGCCATTTAAATCTAGCAGAACTCACAAGCTGGGGTTGCTGAACAAGGATTTAAAGAGGATGCATTGGATGGAAAACCTCCAATGATTCCTCTATGGGGGTACTCTCCTGTTATCCCCACTACTGATACCCCAACGAAGCCCTACTGTAAATTTTGAAGAATATACTACTCAGATATTAGATTTCCCTTATTTCTTAATTGGCTTACATAGGTGAGTTACTCTTGATCTGGAAGGGCTTTCAGCAGCACTGCCACAGGACAGACAGGAACAGGCCTAGGACACAGCTACCTGGTGTCGTCATGTCCCATCCTGGAGGAAAAGTCTCTGAATTCCTATCCCTACTTTAGTTTCCTGTTCCCATTTGTTACCACTTTAGTCCCTAGATAGAGAGTGAGGACACTGGAGGGGGGCTGGAGACTCCATGCCCCATCTGTATAGAGAGAAAACAGTTACTTATTACCAAAACTGATGGGGCAAAAGATGTAAGAAATTCAGAGAGATACAGCATCACACAATAAACTCTGAGTACTACAATATTCCACTTTGATGAATTCATAGAACCACCAGAGGAAATATAAGGAAAGAGAAATAAAAGGAAATAGAGAAAGTGGATTAAATTATAAAGCAATTGCTTCTATAGATATGTACACTCTATCAGACAAGAGCAGAATGCACATTTTCCTCAAGTGTACATGAAATAGGCTCTAGAATAGATCATATATTTGATCATTACATAAATCTTAACAAACTTAGAAGAAGGAAATTATCTAAGTATCTTTTCCAGTCTCAAAAGAGTAAAGTTATAAATCAATGGCAGAAAGAAATCTGGAAAATTTACAAATATGTGAAAATTAAAGACACAATCTTATACAACCAATGGGTTGTATACATTAGGGTCAAAGCATACATTAGGAAATTAATGAAAAATTAACGGAAATGGAAATTCAACCTAACAAGATATATGGGATGCAGAGAAAATGTCGAGAGACTTTTCTAAAAATAAACATTATATTAACAAATAATGATCTTAAATCATAACTTAGTCTCCCTTTCATAGAATGAAAAATATGAAAAATTAAAGCCAAAGCTAGCAGAACGAAGGAAACATCACAGCAGAGATAAATAATAAATGGAATAAAATCATAGAGAAAGATCAATGAAATAAACAATTGAGTTTCTGGAAGGTCAACAAGCCCCAGGAATGTAGGGTGGGCAGGGAATAGAGAGTAGAGAACAGAGTGGGAAGAGAGGCCAGGAGAGAAAGGTGGAGGACTGTGGGCACCTAATGGATGGAAACTACGGTGACTGCACCTGGGGGAAGAAATTCAATGCTGTTGGAAAAAAACAAAAAAGAAAAGATCAACCACATGGACAAAAATTTTTCTTGATTGATTTATACTACAAAAAGATGCAAAACATAAAATTCTAGAGTGAAAGTAGCACATTACTACAGGTTTTTTCAAAAATAAAAAAAAATAATAAGAGAATACTATGAAGATTTATAGACCAATAATTGGATAACTTAAGCGAAACGGTCAAATAACTGGACAGACGCAGCCAATAAAAATTCAATCATGAAGAACAATATTATCATCCAAAGCTGGACAAAGAAGAAATAGAACAATTAAACAGACCAATTACAAGCAGCGAAACTGAAGCAGTAATCAAAGCACTCTGCAAAAGCAAAAGTCCTGGTCCAGATGGCTTCACAAATTAATTCTACCAAACATTGAGTAGTGTGTGAGTGCCTACCCACACAAACTCTTTAAAAAATTGAAAAAGAAGGGATACCACCAAATATGTTCTACGAAGCCAACATCACACTAATATAAAAACCAAACAAAGACAGCACACAAAAAGAAAATTAGAGGCCAGTCTCCCTAATGAACACTGATGCAAAAATCATCAACAAAATCCTTGCCAAAAGAATCCAACAATGCAGCAAAAAGATAATATACCATGATCAAGTGATATATCCCTTGATCCCTTCTTTTTCATTCCAGGGGCACAAGGATGGTTCAACATACGAAAATCGATCAGTGTTATCCAACACATCAACAAAAAGAAAAATAAAAACCATATGATCATATCAATAGATGCTGAGAAAGCATTCAACAAAGTCCAACATCCATTTATGATGGAGGCCCTTGAAATTCTTGGCATAGAAGGAACATACCTTAACATGATAAAAGCCATATATGACAAACCCACTGCCAATATTATTTTCCATGGGGAAAAGCTGAAGGCCTTTCCTTTAAGATCAGGAACAAAACGAGGATGTCCTCTCTCACCACTGCTCTTCAATATAATACGGGTGGTCCTAGCCAGAGCAGTAAGCAAGAGAAATACATACAAGGAATCCAGATAGAGAAAGAAGAAATAAAACTATCACTATTTGCAGACAATATGATAATATACGTAGAGAACCCTAAAAACTTTACAGAAAAACTACTCAAAATAATCAACCAGTTCAGTAAAGTGGCAGGATACAAAATCAACGCACAAAAATCAGTAGCCTTCCTATACACAAATAATCAATCTAAGGAAGAAGAAATCAAGAAAACCATCCCTTCTATAATTGAAACCAAAAAATCAAATACTTGGGAATAAATCTAACAAAAGAGATGAAAGACCTATACAATGAAAATTATAAAACACTGTTAAAGGAATAGATACACAAAGAAATGGAAAGACATCCCCTGTTCATGGATTGGAAGAATTAACATTATCAAAATGGTCATCCTACCAAAAGCAATTTACAGATTCAACACTATTCCAATAAAAATCTCAATGACATTCTTCAAAGAAATAGAACCAATACTGATGAAATTCATATGGAACCACAAAAACCACGACTGGCCAAAGCCCTACTGGTGAAAACAAAGGAGAAAGGAGGTATCACACTTTCAAACTTCAAGCTATACTACAAAGCTCTAATAATCAAAACAGTTTGTTATTGGAACAAAAACAGACACACAGAACAATGAATCAAATAGAGAGCCCAGAAATAAAGCCACACTTATATGAATAACTAATCTTTGACAAAGGAGCAAAGAATATGCAATGGAACGTGGACAGTTTGTTCAATAAATGGTGCTCGGAAAACTGGACCTCCACATGCAAAAAAATGAAACTAGACCACTAGCCCTCACGGTGCACAAAAATCAACTCAAAATGGATAAAAGAGCTGGACATAAGACCTGAAACCATAAAATATATAGAAGAAAATATAGGTAAAACATTATAAGACATACATCTCAGAAACATCTTTAAAGATGCTTTATAATTTAATCCACTTTCTCTATTTCCTTTTATTTCTCTTTCCTTATATTTCCTCTGGTGGTTCTATGAATTCATCAAAGTGGAACATTGTACTCCTCAGAGATTATTGTGTGATGCTGTATCTCTCTGAATTTCTTACATTATTTGCCCCATCAATTTTGGTAACAAGCAAAGCAGTGATAGTGAAGGCAAAGATAAACACCTGGGATTACATCAAACTGAAAATCTTCTGTACAGCAAAGGAGACATTAACCAAAACAGAGACACCCCACTGATTGGGAAAAAATCTTTGCACTTCAATCAACTGATAAGGCACTGATCACAAGGATTTACAAAGACTCACATGGCTCAACAATAACAAAATAAACAATCCAGTCAAGAAATGGGCAGAAGAGAGTCAACTCAACATGGTGGCGAGGAAACGCTGCAAGTAAGACCTCTCATAAAAAAAAAAGTTAATAGGGAGGAAAAGCGGCAGGTCCCTGCGAGAACTGGAACACAGAAAATAATTGGGTGAAATGCCCAAAGAAGAAAGTTGCCATAAATAAGGACTAGAAGGGAGGAAAGCTCAGAACCCTGCTACCCGCCCCCACCCACAAAGTTGGCCCTTGCACACCAACAGAAAAGAGGAAAAAAAAAAACTGAAACAACCAACAAGAACAAACTACGCATCAAGCGGGACTGTGAGTGGAAAGGAACTATTTCAGCCACCACACCCTGTGAACTGAAACTGTGGAGAACCATGCAGGAATCACCGCAGAGGTGAGCGAACTGCTCCAGACCATTAGAGAAAAAACAAAGACTCCCAGGAGACCTACAAATAGCTCAAGACTAGCCTGTAAGCTTGTGCGGAAAAGCGGTGCACTTGAAAAGCATATGTGGATCACGGCTGCCCAGGTCCCCGCACCTGCGACCTAGGCTTGCAGGGTGAAGTGCGGGAGCCC